TGCTGGCTGCTAAAGGAGCTTTGGGTGATGAGGGCATGTGGAAACAACTAGGTGCAGATATCTAAAAGAAACTACATGGAGTCTTCCCCATTGACCCCATTCTTCTCAGCCATCATCACCATCACTTGGTCTATTGGAAAAGCAAAGGGAAGAAGTTACCACTGGAGTATTAGCTCCTGTAGGAGCAGAAGTGACCACAGCCAACACCACAGCCAAATGGAGATGGTTCCCAGCAGCGCTGTTCAGGGCTGTCTCATCTCAGGTGGGATGTCAGCGTTGCTTCTCCGAGAGGTCTGCTGGATACTGGGAAAGTAAGATGGAAGATTTAACATCAGAACACAGGGGATAAAGACAAGTCAGTCCTCTTTGATTCACATAATCATGATTTACTCTATCTGTACTCCATGCAGCTCACTGGGCACCCTACACCACAAGCCTGCTCCAGCTCTGGGCTCATTCTCAGCCCTCATGCTGCTCCTTTTCCCCAGTGAGGTGGCCCTGCCCTCATGTTCATCCACCGTCAGACCTAATTTTGTCCAACAGTCAATCCCTACCTCTGCCTCCCTTAGTGTCCTGCTGCCCCCACAGTGTCCATACCCTGATGCCTCAAGTCATGCCCTTTACTGTGACTCCACTTGCTCTCTGCCACGATGAAAGTCCACTGGCACCCAGTGACACGTGAAGACCGGCATTGTTCTCTGTTTACCTCCAGAAATTGAGAGATTTTGATCTCCAGGCTAAACTGGCACTTCATTGTTATAGACCTGCACACTGGCTGCTGGTCTCTGCAGTGAGTCAGGGGAGCACAGAGAAAGGCTTTTCACCGACAATGATGTCTGGGACATGTCCCTCTGCACATTTACGAGCAGTGACAACATTCTCCTGACCTGGCTGGCGGTGCTTCAGGACAAGGCTGAACCAGCACAGGCACACGGCATGTGAGGAGTTAATAAAAACTGCTGGATTAAAGTCATTACATTGTGACTGAAAAACCCTGCTGTTAGCCACAGGGAAGGACCCCGTCTGCAGCTCCCTTACAATAAAATGCGTTGAGTACCTCCACCTTCTCCATGTCCCAGGTAACCAGGTCTCCTGTTTTGTTCCAGAGAGGGCCCACATTTTCCCTTGTCTTCCTTTCATCCCCGATGTACCTAGAGAATCTTTTCTTGTTGCCCTTGATGTCCCTGGCCAGATTTAATTCTATCAGGGCTTTAGCTTTCCTAACCTGATCCCTGGCTGCTCGGACAATTTCTAGTTAGATTTGTTCTTACGTAAGTAAATAGACAACTCTATTTTTGTTCTTAAAAACTGAATTTATTTGCTCGGGTTTACAGCAGTTGCAGCAAGATGCACTTTGTTTTTCCCCTGGGGAAGAGTATTAGAGACACAGGACATTTGTCAGTCAATTGTGTGTGATACAAAATTGTCCAACTGAAGTTAGTTTTGGCTTATGAAAAGATAAGTAGGTTTGTGTGTATACGTCTAGCCAGATTTACTTTCCCAATCTGTAAAATTCTTGGTTTTGGACCTTTACTAAAATCTTGACTATGTGTAGTTGACACTGTTTGGGAGGAAGATAGTTTTATTACCTGTA